TTTAAGCCCCCCCGCTCACTACAGCGAGCGGTGATGGCATCGTGGGAATCACAAAGCTCCCCGGTCTTCTGTCGGATCTGGGGCAGAGGGGCCGGGCCGGAGCGGCGAAACTTCTTGGGCCTGACCAGGCGTTTAACGGCTTCGTGTATGTGCGCCGGGCCGGCACGATCCACTGATTCGGCCAACGAGCTGACGTACTGTCGTTTGTCATCTCGACATCGTTTCTTGAGATCCCTCCCCAAGAAGCCAATCCTCTCCACCAGAAAACCAATAGCAGCTCGAAGGTGCCGGAGCCAAGGGCCCCGGAATAGGGACCCGAAACTACACTCACATGACCTCCAGGCCAGGAAGGCGCAACGCATTCTGGCGAGACGCAGCCCCTGCAGCCTATTGCGGAGATCTTTGCGCAAGCGTGCTAGTGCCTGATGGACGTGCCCCGTTGCTTCTGTAAGAAAGGGCTGCCGCATACGGCGCGCCTTCCAGGGAAAGGCGGCCGCAAGGGAATCATGCAGGTAGCGGACAAGGCAAGCCGCATGGTCATTTACATTTGTCGTCCACGACACTGGGGGAGCCGCTCGAATGATGTTGCAAACGGCCTCCTGATTGCATTCCTCAAGCAGAGCTTCACGGTCTACACGCATCCCACCCTTTTTGGGGGGGCCAGCAGAAAGCGCCCGGCGCGTCCACACCATTGTGGCCACATGGTCCATGACCATGTGTCCGGAGCTAACCTCTGGCTCCGTCCATGCAACCACCTCACATTGCCTCCAACTGACAGGGAGGGCCACGTAATCTGAGCGCTGTAGCTCACGCGTGCACTTCTGCAGAAGCGTGCCACCTGGTCCAAACATGTTGGACTCAAAGGTGGCCGGAAGCCAGCATTGCAGCTGCCCGAGCAAGGAATGGAGCAGCTCACCCGCATCGTCTTCCGCATCCGCATCATGACTTCCTATAAAGGGGCTTTCAACGGAGCCCACCCGGCAGTTGGCGTCAAGTAGCAGAAGCCAGTCCCCCTGGGAACAGCAGTGATTGCAGACCCGGGAGGTCTCATCCCACCAGCGGCCGCGGGTATCAGCATCATGCGCTCTGTGGGGCGCGTGACCAGCGAGCACATAAACAACCTCACCTGCGAAGGCCAACCTCAAGATAAGCCTCGTCGGCGTGGCGTGCAACACTACCGCAGTGTGGGGAGGCCATTGGGCGCCACATGCAACCCACACTTCTATACCATGGCTATGGCGCTCGGTCGCGCCCGAGCAGTATCTGGCAAAGTCCGTGCGGCGGCTAGTACCCTTAGGGGTCCTCGCCTCCTGAATGCCTACTATAAAGGCACGTTGCTCTACAAGCGAAGCGGCCAGGAGCTCAACCCTACCTATTGCCCCATATAATCCAGTGCCACTGTCCGCGCCATCAGCAGTGCCCTCTAGAAGTGAAAGAGCATTGAAGGAGACGCATGTAAAATCAAGGGCCTTAGAGCTGCTCGGCTCACTCGCTCCACAGGGGAATACCCGAAGAAAAGGGGACATGACCTCAGAAGGCTTCAAGCAGTGCGGGGGCTGAGCAAGCTTCCAGGACATGACGTCATGGGCAAGGGGCGGCATGCATGGTGTTCGGCTTCGTGAAAGGCACACGTGAGGGAGCCAGTGCAGCGCAGCACCATGATCCTTAAACCACAATTCGAGCTCCAAGGATAGCGGGGCACCAGCATGACAACCACCTGAGCCGAAGGAAGCAAGAGCGTCAGCCAGCTCGTTGGCCGTATCCCCACAGTGACCCGGTACGTGTTGGTAGCGGGGCGGGGACCTCGTGAGGGCACGGACTGCTGGAAACGGCCTGTCCCAGCGGGTGATCTCGAACCTGTGCCTGACCCTCAGCGCCGTGCAGCGCTGCAATATTGTCCGCACGGAACACTATACCTCCCAGACTGGGCAGACGAAGGGCCAAAACAGCAGCCCAAAATAACCCAGCCAACTCGGCTAGGTAAGGGTCAGCGGGTCCGAAGGACACCCCAATCGACGTGGCCAGCTCTTCGAGCGGACCATAACAGCAGCCCAAAAAGAGCCCAGGTAGCAGAAGGTCACTCGCAGAGGCTGCGCTAACAACAACGGCCCAGCCAGCGGCTCCGGAAGCCGGCGAGTAGGAGCCATCCGTGGTAAGCACAAGGATGTCATCAGCGGCAGGCACAGTGCCAACTCCGCCCTGCAAGACCCAATCTCTAAAGCGCTCTGGAGCAGGCGCACCTTCCGGCGGGTCATGTAAGGAGAGGAAGGACTCAGGGCGAGTCAGAGCGCCAAGCATGTTCACAGAGCATGGCAGCTGGCATTGACCAACATCCAGGTCAAATAATTCTGGACCCTCAGCCACCTGAGCACTAGCTGGCAAGGCATCCTCAAGAATCAGGCGCACAGGTTCGCTGACTACGTCCACAGCAGGCGCCATATGCCGGCCAACCTCGAAGTGCTCAGTTAAGGCTTCAACAACCGCAATAGTCTCAAAGAAGAAAGCACTGGTGTCAGCATCACGTATCCCTTCAAGGAGGGTGACAAGCTGACCGTGCGCACAGTAGCGCCGGAGCTCGCGTCCCCTGCTACGCTGTCGACAGGGCGTAGGCAGGGGTCGACGGGAACCTGTGGCGCCGGCATCACTAGACCCACTGCACTTATGTCCAGGGAGGAAAGGGGTGGGTGTCGGGCGCCCCAGTCGAGAGGCATGTTGCACGTATCCGACAGTCCACATTTCAACTCGACCAGGATCAGCTGCTCCAACCACATTTGCAGGTTGCCGCCCAAGGGGAAGGTCCGGCAACTGTACAGAAGCGGCAGGGCATATTAGTTGAGCTACACCGAGCAAGAGGTATGTCCAGCGAGGAACAAAAGAGGCTGACGGAGGAATGCCGCCACCGCCCCAGTCTGAACGAGTGCAAACAGGGGCTGCTGAGTCTCGCAAACTCTCTGGTTCGAGTGCCCCTGCAGGAACGGGTGCTGGTTGGACAAAGCGGCCAAGGACTCTGCCGCCGTGGCCGGTGCCCTCCTCCCGTCTATCAGGCGACGCTCCGCGAGAGCGGCTTCGCTCAGAGGCAGTGTCATCATCTGCCATCCGATCCACGTCGCTGTCGTCCCCGCTGAAGGCAACCTCTCCATCAAAGCCAGGGTGACCGCTAGAGTCAGAATCGGGGACATCGACATCATCAGGCCCCTCGCCAGGGTGTTCGGCAGACAGGCTGACAACATATTGTATCACCAAAACCTGGCCGTTCACAATCTCAACGTATTCCCGATGGCCCTCCTGACGCGACCTCCCGCCCGAGATAAGCACTTGACAGCCATCAGGGCAGCCAATGAGAAAGCGCTCCTGCAGAACCTGTCTGCAGAGACAATTGGAGCCATGCAGGCTCCATTCAATGCCGCGGTACAGAGGACGCAGATCGAAGATGACACAGAACTGAAAGGCCAAACCACTCGGCCTACGGCACGAGTGCTGAGTCGCAAGCAGTACCAAGCAACTGTCAATCCCTAGTTCACTATGGTCGTCGATGCGAGGGGTGGCGGCCAAGATGGCAACAGACTGCACGGGGCAATCGAGACAGCCAGCAATATCCCTCCGCACGTTGCTCCCGTCATCATTGTCAACCGAAACATGAAAGGCATCAAGATCAGAGAGAACCCAGAGATGCAGGCCCTCATCCCGGCCCGCCAAGGCATGCACATTCCATTCCTCCGGGTTAAGGAGCATATGCGGAAAGCTGGCACCAGTCTCATGTTGGCTGCCAAAGGGAACGATAGCGAAGAGGTCCCCAGTGCTGAGGCGGACAGTTTGACCTGGGGCAAGGGACCAGTAGCCGTCATTGGCAAAAACATGCACGCGTGCCCCACTACCTAATCCTGCCACAACCAAAAGATCCTCTCGCCTCATTACAGCAGATACGGTGAGTGAGAAGACTCGCCCACTGTAGAGACTGCAATCGCAGACGACAACGGGCATTTCGTCCGCCCAAGAGGGCAATGCGAGAAGAGTCACATACTCCGGACTAGGCTGATAATTGGCAGGAATGAGGAGGGGAAAGCTCTCAGCATGCAGGGTACCACGAAGGGTCTGAACTTGGCTGAGAACATGCTCCGGGTCAGCCGGCAAGGCAAGAGATGCCACGACCTGCTCATCCGAGTAGTTCACCTTAAGCACAGCAAAGAGGCAGTCCACGACTTGCAAATCCTCATCTTCAAGGGCCACTGGTAAGGGGGCCCCAAAGACTGGCACAGGATAGCGGCCAGGACTGGGCGGACCCAACGGGTCTCTCAGCAATTGCTCCAAGCGTGCAGGCCCTTGTGGCGCTTGAATGAGTTCGAACAAGCGAGGCTGATCAGGGCCCTTGCACGCAACGCACCAGTCCCTCGCAAACGCCGCGGAGACTTGTCGCACCACAAAATCAGTAAGGGTGAAGCGGAGCGGAGCACAAACGGGCTGCATGTTAGCGACAGAGAAGGCGGCTTGCCAGAACACGCTGTCACAGCAGCGGGAGACCAGTGTAAAAAGACCCTTTCTCCTTACGCATGCCCATATCTCATGGAGGGCTTGCACGCCGACGACGGCAACAGCAGCGCAGTCAGGACCATCAGCACAGCCCGCATCCCGGCCTCCCACTTCTGCCCCGGAAGCCAAACCAGAAGCGGGAACGGCTGAGTCGTTATCAGCATCCGATGGGTCCATACTGTAGTGAGCGGGGGGGCTTA